GGGCAGAACTGGCTAGAGCTCCACGCCGCTGGGCACCAGAGCCTGCACCAGGCACGAGTGCTGAGCACTCCAGCCTGCTGCTGTTGTGCCTCCCACCTTCTCTCACACCCCAAATACCCATACCCTGCCCCCAAGCCCTCCACATATACACACCCTCAACATACTCTATAGCCACCCCACACACACAGCCACACCCCCTCACAACCCCCCCATACACCCACACCCTAGTACACACATACCACACCCCCATACACACACAACCCCCACAAACCCACCATACACACATCTCCGCCCACACAAACCCATACACACATCCCCACACCCTACCACACACACGCAGACACACACACGCAGACACACCCCTCCTAGAGCTCTTTTTCCTCCCTTCTGGACAGATCACTGCTTTCTGACAAACATAGTAGACCAAGAATTTATTTTTTATTTATTATTTATTTATTATTCAATCACCCAAAATAATTGCCCACCCCTGAGCTATGGTTGCTATTTACAGCATAACTACATGAATGTAGTTATATTACTCATCTATAATTGATTGAGTACCAAATTCTAGGTTGTTTTTGATGAAAATAGGGACTTGGTTCAGGAACTAATCCACCATTTATAACATTGTTTCCTATGAGAAAATTGGTTCTGAGTTGCAACGTTTCAACTTAAGACGTGGTTTTCAGGAACCAATTGTGTTGTAAGTCCGAGGGCTGCCTGTAGTAACAGAAATCATTTCATACAACATAAAACACTTGATATGATGGGAATTTTCTCTCCTGGAGTGTCTTACCTCTAGAAAAGTAGAAACAGTGCTGTTGAAGAGTAACAAGCATTTGGAAGTGTACCATGATTGCATGATGACCATTATCTTTGCCAACACCAGGAACTGAATCCAATGTTCTCCAGGGAGATGGGCAACGCAGCGAACTTGTTCGCTGGTATGGCATTGCATCACATCAAACGGTGTAAAATCGAAACTGACGTCAGAAAGTTGAAACAGGATATCAATTTTTAAACATTGTAAGTGCAAAACGTTGTAATCCAAAACATTGTAAAATCGAGGACTGCCTATAATATGATACCTTCAGTGAATGTGTGGCCTAAGAGACTTGAATGAGGCCAAACGCACTTTCTTTATTGCCTGGAATCCTAAATACCCTCCTCCTACCCCTTCCACACCTCTTCCAATTCTTCCCTCAGTTTGGGCATGGTTTCTTTCTCCAGTGCCACTGACATTGGCATATGAACTAAAGCAAATTAAAGTTACTGTGATGCAACCTTAGAATACATAATCAAGAACTCTTGTCTATTCTGTAATGAGGACCAATTAATACTTGAATTATTCTGCCACTCAAAGGATTTCAAAATACAAGGATTGCAGCCAGAATGTGGTGCTGATTTGTTCATTTATGATCTAATCTGACTATAATTGTCTGTACTGAATGTAATAAATTTAAGCAAGAATACATCAAGTCAGTTATTCCAAGATATTGAACAAGTGTCTTTGTACTGTGTACGATATTACAAAAACCTTATTAGTATAATTGCATACGTCTAAGGATCAAGCTGCACCCCAATGTTTTTCAGACATTTCTGTGTTGAGCATTCATAGCTTTAGCCTCTCATTCTTTGGTCTAGTCTACACGTGGAATTATTACATAGTAAACTGGAGTATTAATTCACTGCATAGTAAGTTAAGTGCGTCTTATCCTGCTTCAGTTTAAGAGTGAGTTTTGTGCCCACAAATCTTCCACATGGAGAATTATTATGGAACAAAAGCAGCCAGGGAGGTCACACCCTAGTTTATTGCACAGAAACTTCCCCATGGGATTGCATTCCATGGAGTATATTAGGTACTTGTGGAAATTCTTACTTTGCAGTTTGATCATGAAGTGTTTACTGAGAGTATTAAGCTTCAAGTCGGTCTGACCGGACAATTTGTGAGCTGAGATTTCCTCCTAATGAATCTTTGCTATTTGTCCATCTGTTGCATGGTCTAAACTCTCTAAAGCAGGGACAATTCTCTTTATTATGTGTACTTGGCACAAGAGTTTCTTATCCTTGACTGTGGCTCCTAGGCACTGCCAGTATATAAATAATAATTTACAGGAAAATCCCAGAATCTTTACTCAGGTCATCACTAGTTTAAGAAATCAAATTAAATTTACTCTAATAATACTTTAATTTTAAACCTAAATATATACTGTTAATGATGTGTGAACAGTGGCAGCATAAGCAGGTTACAGAGCTTTTCTTTACATTTAAAACTTTGAAGGAATAAAACATAGTAAATAAAAGAATGTACAATTAGAAGCCAGGATCTGGACTACTCTGCTCTCAACACTGAAGACTTACATTGGTCCATAACATTTTGCATCATGTTTAAAAGTTCTGATCTCAGTTCTGATCTCATGAAGCTTTTACATTCATTCTGAGCTGATGATACCAGGCACAAGATTTCCTTTGTGGTTTCTGTAAACACGTAACAAAATGGACACATTTTTCTAACAGGAATAAGATGAATAGCTACCCATCTGCGGTGATAAAACAATGGTAAACTGTAGTATAGAAAACTCCTTATTTTCTTTGTTTGGAAAGATTCAGCAGCTCACAGTAGCTGGCAAGTTAAACTATAATTATAATTGTAATTTGATGTGGATTATCTCCATACAATGCAGAAGTGGTACATATTATGCCAGAAGTTGGTTTACAATTATAATATTATAAAACTTAAGACAGTGTCAATATTGACAATACAGGCAGTCCTCGACTTACAGTGTTGAGTTACAATGTTTTGCACTTACAACGCTTATAAATTGACACCCTGTTTCAACTTTCTGATGTCAGTTTTGACTTTACAACACTTGATCCATCATGACGCCATGCCAGCGAAGTTTGCTGCATCACCCATCTCCCTGGAGAACATCTGTCCAGACTTCCTTGGACACTTCCTTTAAGAAAGCAGACAAGACTCCAGAAAAACCTGCAGCCAAGTCTCCTGAGAAGACTCCAGCCAAGAGCCCTTCAAAAAGTCCAGCAAAGTCACCTCAAAGAAGTCCTTCCAAATCAATATGATTGCTATTTACAGTATAAATACATGCATGTAGCTATATTACTCATCTATAATTGATTGAGTACCAAATTCTGGGTTATTTTTGGTGAAAATAGTGTATTAGGGCTTGGTTCAGGAACTAATCCCCCATTT